AGTCCAGTATAAATATTTTACACGTCCGAAAAAAAAAAGTGTACCTACATTTCTACTCACGCAACTGACTAGTGCTCACCACGCCCGTATCGTGTGTCGCTAGGCTAAACATTCAGTCTCGTCTTGATCACTGTGGTGTTAACCTTTCACCTTCTAGCACCTAGGCACCCCTTGGGGTAGGGGGTTGGGATTGGGGGTGGTAGAAGGTTTGGTGTCTTTAAAATATTGTTGACTCAAATCACAGCAACATATACAGTGTAGAAGGATATACGTTCTTTGAATCTAGCAATGTCTAAATCGGTTATCCGTGTTTGATTTATTTTTGAAAGACGTCCCTCTAATTAGGGGATCCAAAATTTTCAGTTTAACTACTAATATGGTGACGGTTAATGAAAGTCATCGAATTTGAACAGAAGTATGCTGTAATAAACCTACATGTTTTAGACTTTCAAACAAAACCTGCAGTTAAGTATTCAATAGGTGAAATATATTTTTTTTTACAAGTTTACATAGCTAATATAAAAGGTTTGTTATAATTATTAGGTAATGAAATTTAGAGCGTTTTATTGTGTTTGTCAAACGTGTCTTAGTTACACTTGGTTAATTTAGCTATTCTTGTGAAAGTTACTTCCCTTGAATAAAATGTTGGTATTTGGATTTTCAAATGGGAGATAATTCGTTGCTTAACTTTACATTCATTTCAAATTCCTGCACCTTAGGTTGACCGCTTTCATATTTTACATATTACATATAACTTTAAGTTATTGTAAAAATGATATAGAGCTTAAGTTCTAAACAAAATAGTTTGGTAGGTTTTTTTAGAATTATCAAGTTGAAAAACAAATACATTAGTAGCCGTTGTAGATTGCAATACTTAATATTAGTAGACATACATTTTTAGTCGTAATTTAAACATCTAATTAATTGTCTTTTCATTTTTTTCACCCTCTCCTAAAGGATTCATATATTACAATTTTAGGTTGGAATCTATAACATTTATAACCTCTTATTTAAAAAAAAAAATGGTTACGTAATCACACAATATAGACATTTTACAATTATAACTAAAGACAGTCAAGCTTAAAACAGGTAAGTTCCGTTTTGGAACTCACCTTGGGAGACTGTAGAGAGCCCAAAACTACAAGAATTTTTTAAGTGGTTTTTTTCCAGACTTTTTTCTTCCGAGAGGGAGGGCGGGGGGGGGGGGCACTTAAAATTTTCTAAGGGAGGGGGGGGGGCTATGTCGTAAAGTACAAAGTAGATTCGTGGACCTAGCACCAATTTCAATAGAATGTGATTACGCTTGCAAACTGGAATTGAAGGAATTAATACAAACCTTTGCGACGAAGGAGGTAAGTAAAATTTGATTTTGATGTCTACTGATAACGTGTATGCAATTGATAATAAATTAATGTCACTGTTAATTAATTGTTTTCTTATAAATATGTTTTAGTAATTAATTTGTGCGAAAGGGGGCGTTTTAATAAGTTTTGCCTAGGGCGCTAAATAACCTGGCGCCGGCACTGTACATAAATTACCTCATTTTAACTGCCCCTCTGTATATTACCAGATATTAATGGCCTTGATTCATCATATATATATAATGTAGTTATAAAAAAGGTTCCACAACTCGCTCGATCATGCCATTTTCATGACGCTATATCGACACGCATTGAATAATGAAAGCAGAATTTATATTCCTTGAGTGAAATGGCCAATTCTTCCTGTATTAACTTTTGGCCTTGATGGCCCGAACACACCCAGTACCTGGCAACAACTGGGCCAGCCCCGGTTGTTCATTGATTGGTTTCTAGATTACATTTATCTCCCTTTGACTCTTGGTCGATTTCTCTCTCTCTTATTCTCTATTCTTTCTCTCTTTCTTTCTCCTCCTCTTTCTCTATCTCCTTGCTTCTTTCTCTTCAGCTTTTTCTCTTTCTCTATTTCCTTTTTTTCCCTCCCTCTTTTCCTCTAATTCTCCCTTCTGTCTCTCCCTTTATTTCTATTCCTCTTTACTTCATTTGCTTCATTTAGAATCAACGGCGTTTAAACAAAAAATCTAAATTATATTTTTAATAGTTGTTGTTTACGTTCTAAAGTTTCATTTTATGATTGTAATATTTTTTAGAGATTCCGATGTTTTAAACAGTGGATTGTTGAGCTATGATTGACGTCACATCCGGTGTATTTCCAGATCTCAAAAGATAAGCTGATACGACCCATGGAGGGAGGGGTAACAGACTCTTCTCACAGGGAGGGGTAGGCTGCGAGGGTGGGGGTGGGGGGGGGGGGACAATTTGGGACAATTTGTGTCCTGGCTGGGAACGTTGTGGTTTAGAGTCGTAGGAACAGTTAATGGCTGTGTTTGTGTGTTTGTGTGTGTGAAGTGATATTTCTGTGATGGAGACATGAGGGGGGAGGGGGGGGGGGGGCGACTAAATGACAGTCTTTAGTTGACATTAACCTATGGAGCTACAAGCTAAGATTAAAACTTACAGATCGAGAGATGTGGCACCATAGGATCTAGCGATTAGGGTGGGTCACAATGAGAGGTAGAGATTAGACTGTGTCACCACTGGACCTAAAGATTAATGACGTGACACCAATTACAACTATAAAGAGGCGTCTATATATATATTTATATATATATATACATATATATATATATATATATATATATATATATATATATATATGTATATATATATAGATATATATATATATACTTATTTTTCCTTTGGTGGAGGGGTGACACACCGGGTGACACTCTACCTAGCGACGCCACTGACGAGATGTGTGAGTGTCCCCATACAGTCTAGAGATCAGTCGGTGTCTCCACGATTAGTATTTTCAAACATCTCATTAGTAGTTTAGTAGTTCGGAGACCCGCGCGCCTCTTTTGACAACTGTAGCCTTCCACCCCCCCCCCCCCCCCCCCACACCTCCAGCAGAGTCTATAAAATGGAACTCATGGAACTAAATTTTTGATTAAGCTGACATTTCTTTCCTTTTTTTTTTAGCAGCTTATTTTTTTTTTTTCTTAACACATAGCTCTGAAACTGAACAAAACAAGTCCCTATTCTAAAAGTTTATTACAAACAATTTGTGATACATTATTCTTTTAATGTTTACTTACCAGATTAAATAACGCAGCATTTGGTTTTTTATTTTTAAATTTGCATTTTAATTGTATATTTTTATTTCTTTTTTTTTCCTTATTTTTACCACAAATAATTGAAAGTATTTTAGAATCTTATAAAGGAAATATTATTTTTATGTTTTTGTAATTAGCTCTTTGCTTTTTTTTCTATTTTGGTATAAATAATGTTTGTAATGTGGTTTTAGAAAACTGAAAATTAAAGCTTTCTTGTCCGACTTAATTTTTTTCTGTTGTTGCAATCGTTCAGATGGACTCGATGTAGACTTAACTTTTGAACATCATCATATTACATTGTCTAACATACAAGCCAGATATTAAAAACCGTATTTTTCTGAAGATTCTACTGAAATTATTACGCAGAAATGTGTGTTATGTGTTGTCGACTAAAACAGGTTTATATAGAATCAACTCACACGCAGTGTTTAAATAACAGAGCAAAGGGCCATAACCACACTTTACATCACCTATCATTCGTCTCTTAGTTCCGTCGAGTCAGGTTTAAAAGAGAGCAGGTGTATAATTTTTGTTAATATTTTTTTTTTTCAAAAGTCTATCCGACACTGATTTTAATTAATTAGATCATGATCTTAATTAAAGAGCAATTATTTTATTTATTTGTTAATACGAATATTTCTCAATAGAAAGGGCAAATTAATTTTCAAGTTACATAACTATTCTTCATTTAAATCGATTGGGCTTCGTTTTTTTCTAGAAATAATTAATTTTAAAAAGTAAAAATGCGATAAAGTCCCAAAAGTGTTTTCTAACGTGCTGCCCATTTTCCTTTTTATTTTAACACAATTGCAAGAGTTGCGTAACTTCAGTCAGGTTTGCCTCGGTCACCTCCCTTGACGCGGAGTGTGTGTGTCACATGAGAAATGAATGGCTATCGTTTTACAAATGAATTCGATTTTTTTTTTATGGGAGGCACGACTTGAAAAATGAGAACACAAAACGGCCATATTGTTAAGAAAAAATAATAATCACGCAATGGATTTAGATCATTTATAAATAGATTACTTTTTATATTTAGAGTAAAATTTAATTACCATTTTAAAAATGTATTAATTATCCCACACTAGAGTGTGAAAAAAAATCTAGATCATAAAGAAATATTTTCGCGTACTTTTAGAACATGTTTAAGCGATTACGAAATTTCCTGTTTTTGTTGTGATCGTATGGTGTCATCAATCCCTAAACAGGTATTTAAATAGACTGGCCACGATAAGTTGAGAATTAGGGGCTTAATTTAACGAGTAAGCTTATACTCAAGCCCAATTACATTTTCAAAGCTAGCGTAGAGAGGAAATACAAGACTTTACTCTAGCAAGTATTAGAAAAATATTTCCTATGACAAAAGAAAAGGAAATTTAATTCAGGGCTTTAGAACGACGAGGTGAAATTAGGGTCTTAGTATGGCGAATGAACAGGAAATTGGGACTTAAAAAGGCTTATTAAAAATTGGATTTAGTGTAGTAAAGTACCAGTAAAGCGAGAAGATCGGGTTTTTAGTGAAGAAAATAGTCGATAAAAACGGTAAGGAAAAAGCGAGACAACTCTGTTTGGTATTTATTTGTACGAACGACACTCACAAGGGTACTATCTCTTTTATGACCAGGTTATGTTATACACTGTCATGTTATTGTGGTAAAGTGGTTATAAACTGTAATTGTCTAATTAAAGCCTAGTTTGTGTATACCCCCATCTCAGTATGTGAATGACAGTAAGCTGTTTTTTTTATTATACATGGGGTTGGGGGGGGGGGGGGTGAGATGAAATAATTGACGAAACATCATGCATGTATATATATAAAATATAAATAACCCCTTTATATTTTGATAATCTTTACTAAATCCAGTGAGTTTCAAGTCAGGAAGTAAATTGTACGAATATACGGAGATGTTCCATTTCTTCAACACGCAATACAAGCTGGGGACACGAGGAGAGCGAAGAAGAAGAAGAAGATTCGGGTCTATTTGTCTATCGACACTGGGGCCGTCTGAGTCAACATCTGCTGCTCGGGCTTCTTGGAGGGCTGAACCTCCTTCACCAGCGAGGATGCCGGGATGGCCATCTGCACAGGGTTCAGGGGCCCCTTCTCCATGGCCTCGGTCTGAAGCGGGACCTTCATATCCGGGTCATCGCAGGTCGCCTCGTCGTCACAGTACCGGGTGAGGAAGGAGGGGAAGAGGAGCGACATGGCCAAGGTGACGCCCCCTATGCAGAAGAGGATCAGACCAATCAGCTTGCACATGTCCAAGGTCGTGTTGTATTCCTGCGCGCGCTGGTCCACGTACGCGTTTCCGGTGAGGCTGTCGCCAATCAGGACGTGACGTGGTGGAACGAGGTAGCCAATCAGAATGCCGGTAACACCGAATAGTAGGAGGGTGACCCCGATCCACATAAACAGCTGAGGATTATAAAAATAAACATTAATTTACAAGGATAACGATTTAAAAAAAATGGAACCTTTCAAGCTGTCAAGACAAGATAATGTAGTGTTTAGCAGTGTTTCTTCCAGACTATTTTCTCCGGGGGGCACTTGAAATTTTCGGGGGGGGGGGGGGGGGGGGGCTCTGCCTATAGAATAAAAGGTATACAAAAGAAATATTTTCAAATATGTCACTCCACTTTGCTGAAGTTAAGTTTTTTTTAATCCCGTTGAGTACGTGGAATGTAAATGTGTGAATATAAATCAATGCAATGCGCATATACCTTTATTAATCTAAAGATAAAACCGCGCCATAGCGCAGGTTTTTAGCAACGTGTAGTAGATGTAGACAGTAAATTTCTGGCAGCAACTATGACTAGTTGGCCAAAACAAACATGGAACAGGTCAGCTGTCAGTGAAGCAAAAGCAGCCGGAATGTCGTGGACCCAACTTGGAGGAATCTCCAAAAACCGAGTAGGGCGGAGAGTTGTGGTTGCATCCCTGTGCTGCAGAAGGGGTCCACTTGAATGATGAGGATGCTATGACTAGTTCTTTTTTTCCAAGCTTTTAATCTGGTTTACCGCACCATCTAGTTAGGCTGAGAGCACCGACTTTGTCCAAAATTTGCCTACGGCCGAGATGATCAAATACCTGTCACCCGTTTTAAATACTAAGAATTCAGTTACGGATTCATGAACCATTGATAGATGTGACTTCATGCTTTACCTAATGCACTATATCACCCTGGCATTAAGGGCTAACAAGTCACCATCCTTTCACTTCCACAAGCAACATTGTCATAGTAGTTGCGACATCACAAAGTAGTGTTGACATTACAAAGTCAGTGCTCAGGCTACAAATAAATCATTGAATGTGTCCTTTATTAAAGCAAAAATTCAACTCCCCCCTCTCTCTCTCTTATACAGGCTACCGCTATGTTTATAGCCAGGCAGAAAACAACAGAGTGACAAGTCGAGCAATGTCCAAACCCCTTTAGCCAGCTGCTAGATCCACAGGTCTGCCACATGCATGTGCTACCTCCACAGTTCATCGTAGTGGGGATGTTCAGCAAGGGATGACCCACATTCTCGATCCCGGGTACTGAACTCATGACTTTCACGGTAGCAAGAGCTCGCTCTACTACTAGACCCCAACATAACTGATCAAGTTTGGCTATACCCCAGCATAATTGATTAGTGTTGACTAGACCCAAACATAACTGATCAGATTAGCGTTCTGAGATCACCGAGTTGATCAAAATTTATAGACAATCCCTAAAATGCTGAACTGCTGAGACAACCAGAATGACTAACAGATTATTCTTTGATCACTAAACCGATGATTTAACCGCACCATCACCACCACAACCACACCGAACACAATCTCTGATTCTCTAGAGACCCTCACTGCCGCCATCACCACCACAACCACACCGAATACAATCTTTGGTTCTCTTGAGACCCTCACTTCTAGCAAGAAAATTAGCCAGATAAACCTTGCCAGTTGGGCTATTGCTAAGTTGGAACCGGAAGAAGACGGGAACTCTGGCATTTGACATGGGCTTGCGTGTCGTGCGCCCAAGTCACGAAGCGTACCCTCTGGTTTATGAATAATTCATGTCATTTCAAAACACGTTTTCGTTAAGCCGCGGAATAATTTCATGGAAGCGATTTTTTTTGTCTGGTAGCGTCTGTCTTTGCGATGTTTTTTTTTTTGCTAGTGACAAAATAGATTACAAAACAGTAGCTGTTTTTTTTGGTTCCCGTGTGAGGCTTTACAGGCAAGTGTAGTGACTTTAACGTTAGTGGCGGCCGTATAAAGTAAATTGATTTTAAAGGAAAGCATTTTTATATTCAATATGCAATCATTTTTAAAGCCTCTAAGCGAATGTAATAAATTTTGAAATTACTTCTCGTTATTGATGGTTACATATATAGAAATGATTATTTGATACAATCTGAAAACAAATGAACCCACCTTTAAACCCACACAATCCAAAAAAACCTGAACCCTCCTTCCAAACCACACACGCTTAAAACACATGAACCCATAAATCCTAAAACCCCTGACCCTATGCAATCCTAAAATATCTGAACCCACACAATCTTCAAACCCCCTAACAAAAACAATCTTAAAACTCCTGAACCCAGAAAATCCTACAACCCCTGAACCCACCTTCCACCCACACAATCCTAAAACCCCTGAACCCAGACAATCCTAAATCCCCTGAACCCACCTTCCACCATATGGGCGTACACCGCCGACGCCTCTGATGGGGCTGCAGCAGAAAGCGGTGGTCATCGTCCTCGTAGACCGAGGGGTCCTTGAAGGTGGGGTCTTCGTAGAAGTGGTGCAGGTACGACTTGACCCCGAAGTACATGGGGCAGCTCCTCTTGCGCTTGGGTTTGCTGCCCGTCTCTGAAGCAGGGGGGGTGGGGGTTGGGGGGCGTGTTAGAAAAGATAAGACTGTAGCATATACAAGTGACAGTCTAATTCCTGCACTTATGTGGATAGTGGGTGCAGAACAGCAGTTTTTTTTTCTTTTAGTGTATTAATGTTTGCTCCTTTCTACCAGCCATGGTTACCTGTGCTCCCCTGGAACACCTGTGCTTACCTTTTATCCACCACGACCACCTTTGCTTACCTTTATTCCCCCTCTCGATCACCTGTGTTTACTTTTACTCCCCACGACCACCGTGATTACCTTTACTCCCCCACCCACACGACCACCTGTACTTACCTTTACTCCCCCTGACGACCTGTGCTTACCTTTACTCCCCTGACCACATGTGCTTACCTTTACTCCCCACGACCACCTGTGCTTACCTTTACTCCCCCCTCTACTACCTGTGCTTACCTTTACTCCCCCTCTGTACCACCTGTGCTTACCTTTACTCCCCCTCTGTACCACCTGTGCTTACCTTCACTCACCACGACCACCTGTGCTTATCTGTACTCCCCACAACTACCTGTGCTTACCTTTACTCCCCCCTCTACTACCTGTGCTTACCTTTACTCCCCCTCTGTACCACCTGTGCTTACCTTTACTCCCCCTCTGTACCACCTGTGCTTACCTTTACTCCCCCTCTGTACCACCTGTGCTTACCTTTACTCCCCCTCTGTACCACCTGTGCTTACCTTCACTCACCACGACCACCTGTGCTTATCTGTACTCCCCACAACTACCTGTGCTTACCTTTACTCCCCACGACTACCTGTGCTTACCTTTACTACCCCTCTCGACTACCTCATGTTTCTCCTCCGCCGGACCGTCAGAACTGGAACCATCACCTGGCCCAGTGTAACCCTCGCCATACCCCGCCATGGATCCTTACTTTAGAGCATTCTGGAACCAGAGAGAAACAGGTAAAAATTGGTGACAGAAGCAGAGAGAAACAGGTAAAAATTGGTGACAGAAGCAGAGAGAAACAGGTAAAAATTGTTGACAGAAGCAGAGAGAAACAGGTAAAAATTGGTAACAGAAGCAGAGAGAAACAGATAAAATAAAATACTTAAAAAAACTTTTTAAAAAACCACGTTTTTCTTGTGGACTAAAAAATAGAAAATAACTATTTACATACATTTGATGACAAAAAACGTGGGTACGTTCACCATCAAATTTCCCGACCCATCTGCCCGACCCACGTTTTTTGTCATCAAATGTATGTAAATAGTTATTTTCTATTTTTTAGTCCACAAGAAAAACGTGGTTTTTTAAAAAGTTTTTTTTAAGTATTTTATTTTCTCCTTTTTAGTCCGTTGCTACACATGAAAAACGTGGTTTTTAAAAAAGTTTTTTATATAGTTTATTTTCTACTTTATCTAATGACTTGATTAAGTATGAATTGACTAAGTGTTTATAAATACACGGACTAAAAAAATCTTGAGCGACCAGGATTCGAACCTGGGTTGTCGCGGCCACAACGCGAAGTACTAACCACTATACGATCACGGCCAGCGCGCTCACATCGATTGGGGCCGAAGTAACTGTGTCAATAAGCCTTCAGTCTTGTCGGTATCTTTAGAAATCATGTCCTCAATTTTATGGTCCTTTGGGCGTAATTAAATTAAGCTAATTACGGTCTCTAATTGCTAGTTTTTATGATTGCATCTGAAATTGTTAGGCGAAAGTAGCATGCATGCCAAATTTCAGGTCTCTAGAGCAATCAGAAGTGGGCTAATTTTCGATGTCAATTTTAACAACAAACAAATCCACACATCCACAAACGCGAAGCTGAGTTAAGAAAAACGTGTTAAAATGGTGACAAAAGCAGAGAAACAGGTAAAATTTGGTAACAGAAGCAGAGAGAAACAGGTGAAAATTGTTAACAGAAGCATAGAGAAACATGTGAAAATTGGTGAGAGAAGCAGAGAGAAACAAGTAAAAATTGGTAATGGAATGTGAAATAGAAAGTAGTGATAAAAAAACTAAATACGGGTAAAAAACAACGCAAGCAAAAAAAAAACAGTAGTACTATTTAATTCGATGTTGGCTAAGAAGTAAAGAGATACGATAAAAACAAGCATACCGGTAATAACATGTTATTTACAAAATATAAATAAAATTGGACGAAGTTTTTAAAACGGTCGATAGAAGTCAGTTCTTTTACGCTGATTAACTCAAACCATCCGGATTAGTTTAGTATTTTAAAAGTTGGTTTGTTATTGTGGAAAAATAAAGAAATTTTATACGCTTTGTCACAAACATTGTAAATTGTTTACTTTATAATGTTGTCAATGTCGCTGTTAATGTCTCAGTGATTGTCGCAGTGAATGTCGCAGTGAATGTCGTAGTGAATGTCGCAGTGAATGTCGAATGTCGCAGTGAATGTCTCAGTGAATGTCGCTGTGAATGTCGTAGTGAATGTCGAATTTCGCAGTCAATGTCGCTGTTAATGTCTCAGTGAATGTCGCAGTGAATGTCGTAGTGAATGTCGCAGTGAATGTCGAATGTCGCAGTGAATGTCGCAGTGAATGTCGTAGTGAATGTCGCAGTGAATGTCGAATGTCGCAGTGAATGTCTCAGTGAATGTCGCTGTGAATGTCGTAGTGAATGTCGAATTTCGCAGTCAATGTCGCTGTTAATGTCTCAGTGAATGTTGCAGTGAATGTCGCAGTGAATGTCTCAGTGAATGTCGCAGTGAATGTCGTAGTGAATGTCGTAGTGAATGTCGCAGTGAATGTCGCAGTGAATGTCGCAGTGAATGTCGCAGTGAATGTCGCAGTGAATGTCGCAGTGAATGTCTCAGTGAATGTCGCTGTGAATGTCGTAGTGAATGTCGAATGTCGCAGTCAATGTCGCTGTTAATGTCTCAGTGAATGTTGCAGTGAATGTCGCAGTGAATGTCTCAGTGAATGTCGCAGTGAATGTCGTAGTGAATGTCGTAGTGAATGTCGTAGTGAATGTCGCAGTGAATGTCGCAGTGAATGTCGCAGTGAATGTCGCAGTGAATGTCGCATTAAATGTCGCAGTGAATGTCGCAGTGAATGTCGTAGTGAATGTCGCAGTGAATGTCGTAGTGAATGTCGTAGTGAATGTCACAGTGAATGTCGCAGTAAATGTCGCAGTGAATGTCGCAGTGAATGTCGCAGTGATTGTCGAAGTGAATGTCGCAGTGAATGTCGCAGTGAATGTCGCAGTGAATATCGCAGTGAATGTCACCGTGATATCCTCCCTGCAGCCAGATGGGGAGTTAATTGAGCGGCGGGACTTCTCTTCTGCGCATGCGTAAATTAGCATTCCCTGATAGCCTGTGCTCATCGAAGCCAAGGACAGGCCGAGTATATGCGCGCATGCGCAATCAAGCGCTTATAATCCAGTAAAAGCCGGATTTGGGCTTTGAACGCATTAACCCCCACTCCCCATTCCCCACCTCCCTCTATGCTTAACCTTTCCCCTACCCCCACCCCTTTGTTACGAGATACTGTCAGATATTTTATTTTGTTACTCACACGCTTGCTAATACACGTACGTCTTGTTAGAGATTACGGTTATAATTCTTGCACCGAACACATCATTTTAGCCGCTTGATACCTTTTAAAACGCTAATTTTAATAGTTCGGGCGATTGAGCTTAAGAAAAAATATTTTTCCTTGTATAATCAAGAGTCATATTGAGCTTTATATAACGGTACACAGTTTCAAAATATCAAAGAACCATCACATCTTTCCAAAATTCAGAAGAAAAAATAGTGACATCATACGTCGATTTAGCTTTGTGAGAAAGCATGGGACAATAATTATGTGTTCGGCCGAGGGTGTTGGCTTAATTCGAGGTCCGTCATCTAGTAGATGACTTTGTATAAAGATTTTTGTATAATATCAATTGATGGCGGTACTGTGGTAAAGTATCTTTAATGATGGTAGTAGAAGTAGAGTTTTTCTGCTTTAGAGGCAATAGGAAACAGATTTATATTTTGTTATGTGGTCAATACAGTTCCAGTACTGCCCTACTCTGCCTATTTAAAATAGGCTCTGTGTTCTACCCATTGATGTAAAAACCATTTTGTTAAGATGTGGAGTCTGGCAAACAAACAACCATCAACTCTTGACGAAATTCAGCAAAAACTCCATGAGCGGTTTATACACTGCTCACGTTGAGGTTGCAGCAAGAGATCGTGACCCCGTCATAAATTAGCCACGATTTAATTAGGTCTCTAAAGCCTAACAAGGTCCCACGACACGAATATCTCAAGGTCCTTCAACTAAGACCCGTTGTAAGACACAATGATGAACCCCTCCCCGCCCTGTAAAAGTTTAACAATAAACTTGTAATTCTTCTTTCAATTCGTGAGGGCGCTTGGCGAATTAAAAAAAAAAGTCCCTTTTCAATTCATCAACCTTAACATCTGTACAGAATTGCTATGTGAAGACATGAGATTTTTTTATTTTCATGAAATTGTCGTGAAATTTTCGTGAGATGACGTGAAATTGTCGTGAAACGTCGTGAAAAGTCGTGAAATTGTCGTGAAATTGTCGTGAAATTGTCGTGAGATGACGTGAAATTGTCGTGAAACGTCGTGAAAAGTCGTGAAATTGTCGTGAAATTGTCGTGAAATTGTCGTGAGATGACGTGAAATTGTCGTGAAACGTCGTGAAAAGTCGTGAAATTGTCGTGAAATTGTCGTGAAATTGTCGTGTCTTGTTTAGCTCACCCCTCCAGTTCTAGTTCCCACTCGATCAGGACGCACACACTGATCTGACCCCATCAAGTCCCACACAACACTGGTTTTTAATTCGTGTAGTAGCTTTACAAATTGATGGAGGGTAAGGGGGGTGGGCTAGAGGGGGGGGGGGGGATATTCAACACAGAAATTTGTAATTGCTTTTTAATTTTTTATTCATGTTATTATCACTGGTTTGGGAAGTTTCGACCAAGAATAGATAATCTACTACCCAACAAAATGGTTTTTTAATCAATGTGTAGAGCACTGAGCCGATTTTACATAGAAACCTAGAAGTCTGTCGTAGAACTGTATTGACGATATAATATTTCCGAATGACGTATCTCGAATTTAGCCACCCCCCCTCCACACAACATGTATTGTCTCCCACTTACTCCCACATCGCCAAAATGACGTCACTAATTCTCACCTACCCGACCCCGCTCCCTAAAATCACTCGGTTATTGTTTTTATCCTTTCCCTGTCTTGATTAACCCCTCCCCCAAACAAAAACAGTCTTAAAAATCTAACCCCCCCCCTCCTTTAAATATGCGACGTCATTAAAAAAAACAACCTCCCGTTACACTTTTTTTTTTTAAAACGAAAAAAAAATCTGTGACAAAATAAAAAAACAAACTCCCCATTGAAATTCCCGACAACACCCTATAGGCGAAGAACCCTGTGTTTGGTATCTAAGTGAAAAAAAAAATCTCCCGTCATTTAGACTAGCAGCTAGCTTATCCCATCACCCCCGACATTTTTATTTCATCTGCCTCTACCCAACATGGAGCCCGTTACGTCAGGCCGCATTCAAGGGAGATAAAACGGAAGTGAATTTCCATTCGATTACTTCCCCTTGGGTTATCTCTTTATTCTTCGCTCACCAACCAACGCATAGAGAGACAAACGTATCTTGTTCAAGGACATAAAGCGCTATAATTTGGTTTGTCATCTGGTTTCAGACATATTTCTTGAGGGATGTATCCTGTAGAGTTATCCATACATTAGCCTGATGAAAAAACCTCTCGATTTGATCATAGAATATATATATGTAAAGAAATATGTTCAGAAAAGGCGAAAGCTAAAAACAATATGTAGATTTATTTTAAGCTTGGCAGGTGATGCAAAATTTGTAAACGGAATATTTTTTTTTTCTCAACAGTTTCTTTGAAATGGTTGCTCACGAAATAACTGTTTTTGGTATCTATTTTATGGTGGATTATTTTTAAAAAAAAATGACTTTTACCGATTTCTATAAAAAGAAATGACTTGATACGTGTAGATAACACTGTAACAAACATATGTATGTGCAAAACATGTGCTAAAATGGTGCTAAATCAATAGACAGCTACGTATATGCTGAAACATATGGTCGATATCAATAGATAAATATTGTGGTGTATTATAATGTGCTAAATTGTATGCGTTATGTACCAAGTGCTGTATTACAACCATGTAGCGCCAATCTAGGAGAGACAACTGCAAAATCAAACAACTGCTGCCTTGTAATTTGTTCTTGGTTGGAAAAGTGCTACGGGAGCAAATCCAAAAAGAAAAGCAGGCTGAAATCGGAATCATCGGCTCAAAACCAGTTGACACGTAATGCTTAATTATGTTAGGGGAATCCCTTCCACATTACAATTAAGAACAAAGAAGAAAAAAAATGCCAAGTGCTAGAATATATGCATGCAGCATCGAGTGCTCAAGTGTACAAAGTGTAGTATACGCAAATGTGAGCAGTTACAAATACTCAAAACTATGGCACGAGATTTGGATATCCTCCTTTACAGACATTAACAAATAAAACATTTGTCCCCGAAATTTGACAAAATTGAAGTGTTTTATTATAATTAGTTTGTTTTTGCGCATTTTTTTCTGATTGCGCTTTTCTCTTAATTCTGCGTGATAAGGCGTAGTTTCCTCCCCTTGATTTGTGATGGCTCGGCTCAAGCGATAAAATCAATACTTCGATAATTAATTGCATGCCAGCAGCATTAGCTTTTGGTAAACTTCGGCCACGTCATCACTGCGTGAGTAATTAATTGTGTGCACGGTAACATCAGGTTCAAGGTCAAGAACTTTATCTCGGATAACAATAGGTGTAACGTAAAGCTAGTCATCTCTAGGATCTTCTTCATTCTTAATTCCCACGTTTTCTTTAACTTGCTTTCTCTGTTTGTTTGTCTTTCCAATCAAATCTTGCGATCGAAATTTCTGGCACTTCCCAGTTAGCTAGCGCGCTGAAATTTTCAGGGAAGCTTTCTTTTGGATGACCATTGAATATTCAATTGTTATTATTACTAAATTGATCAATGGAAACATTTTATTGAGCATTTTAGACCGCTATATAATCTATATATATAATTCTCCTCTGCTAGCGTTAGAAAAAAAACCAGCGACGCGTACCTCGCGCGCAGTGAAGCGAACGATCACATGTCGCCACAGGCTTAGGGGCAGAGAATTTAGCTTGAACCGAGTTTAAACTTACAGGAGGTAGGCCAGTTTGGGGGAGACGATATGGTCGAGTGGTTGGGCACACGATTGCTATCCCACTCGACACGGGTTCAAATCTATGTGTTCTAGTCAGTAACGTATTCAAACAACGTGTTTTTTACGAGTTGTCTTTTTACGAGTTGTCTTCGTTTACCCAAAAAAAGTGAAAAGATAAAATCGATAGCAAGATTTTAATGCAAACAAACAGACAAAGACTAAAAAGTAGAAAATAATAATCATTAAAAAAGTTTAAAAAAACCCACGTTTTCTGATTGAACTAAAAAGTAGAAAATAAATGCTATAGGCCCTACATCACAATAATGCAAGCGATCAGTCTACTATAAGCGAGCAAAAACGTGGGGCGCCGTGATTTTCTTACAGTTTCTAATACTGTTGACTCTCTACAAGCTCCCTAATAAAAGTCAATAGTATTATCTAATCAATAGTAATATAACTTTTACTTCGGCGCCCCACGTTTTGCTCGCTTATAGTAGACTGATCGCTTGCATTATTGTGATGTAGGGCCTATAGCATTTATTTTCTACTTTTTAGTTCAATCAGAAAACGTGGGTTTTTTTTAAACTTTTTTAATGATTATTATTTTTAGTGTTGGAAGGGATCGAGTTGTATCTGCCAGAGGGTTTGAACTCGAGACTTTTTTTTCGAATTTATCAACCATGAGCTTTTGCCGACTCGACCACGCCTCCATCACAATTAAGGATACGTGTCAACTGGTTATGCGCCATTGAGGCCATTGACTCCGATTTCAGCCTGCTTTTCTTTTTGGATTTGCTTCCATAGCCTTTGTCCAACCAAGAACAAACTACAAGGCAGCAGTTGTTTGATTTTGGAGTTGTCTCTCCTAGAAGAGTGGCTGTCCCCAGCTAACGAGCCTCATCTGTCCGAGGGTTTGAACTCGAGACTTTTTTTTTCGAATTTATCAACTATGAGCTTTACCGACTCGACCACGTCGACCTTATCTCTAGGATAACATCAGTTTACCGTAAAGCAAGTGAACTACGGTGACATCAGGTTAAGGTTAAGA